CTCACCGAACGTCTTCTACTGAGCAGCTCCTCACCACACGGCACCTCCAGCACCAGACTGTCTATCATATAACTTATATTATATAAGAAAACCACATTAGAGTTTCCATCCATCCTGAGTGCTAGACAACATCATATCTCGATACCCCTACAATATCATCTTGTGCAGAATTATAAATTATAAATAAATGCCTCTTGGAGATAAATTCCAATCGTATTTTAATTTACTAAGATCTAAAGAAATTATACAGTTGATAGTGAATACATGAGCCCTGCCCCCCCCCTAAAGCTCTTGGCATAAAGACCCCCCCCCTAATCTTAACCAGGCCCTGACCTGGAGGGGTATGCGCAGAGCACACGCATACATGCACAAAACACACACACACACACACATCACAAAGTGCCCCCAAACAGGAAGATAGCTCAGTACACAACTACAGTATTTACATTATTTATAGGATACCATAAGATTCGAAGTAACTCAATGATTTAGGGCTACAGATTGATTTTAATACACAGGGTCCGGAAGAGAAACACCAGCTGACGGTTATATATATATATATATATATATAAATTACCCAAAATTTTTAAACCCAAATTAACCAAAACATTTTATGTACAAGCTTCACTTCTTAAAAATTACATCAGTGAGATGGTGTCCATTGTTATTTACACATTTTTGCAGTTGGGAGCGAAAATTCCCCATTACTCGATGTGCCATTTCGAGAGGTATTGCTGCCACTCCCTCCCTCATGTTGTTTCCGGTCAGTTCAGTTAAACTGCACGTGCGTTCAATGTCGCTTCCCCCACTCCAACGATTTCGAGCACAGCCCGTTTTTAAAAACCGTGAAGTTTCTCTGCCGGACCCTGTACTAATCAGTGGTCGATGTATTCACATACTGTACTTATCAATTTCCTTCCCTTTAAATATCCACACTTATTATTAATTATCTCTCAGTAGTCAGCATACAGTGCATTTCTATCAGTCTTTCCATTCTTTTCTTGAATGTCCTGTCTATCCCAAATCACGTCCATTTCGCTGTCATACTCGATATCACTTTATCCCTCAAATTCAAACATTAAATTCAGCTATTCATTCCTTGCCTAAACCACTTTCTTTCCTTTTTCTTTGGAACATCTACGAGTATGCACTTCACTTATTCATCCTTTTGTCAAATCTCATTTTAAATAACACATACTTGTACTCCATCAGTCAACAGCACTGCCACTCTGTTCTTCTTCCTTCAATGTTCACTTTATGGTCTACACTTGTTCCCATCAGCGTTTTTCTTCTCCCTCCCTTTAAAGCCAAGACTTCCAGGTTCCCATCATTCATAAATTTTTCAGTTGCTCCTTTATCATCCTCCTCATTACATCAACATAGATATTCAAACTCCTATGTTGATATCTATCTTTGGTAGTAAGAATATATAGGGTTGGGTTATTACTCTTCAGCAGCAATTTTCTCCAGAATCCAACGAATATACTTTGTTACTCGAGTGTATATCTGTGGAAGGTTATTGGGCTGGACGCATAATACACCCCTGGACACCACGCCATAGAGAGTGATTTTACCATCCACCATGCAGGCCAGAGGACCTCCAGAGTCCCCACGGCACACGGACGAACTCGAGGTCACTGCCCTGAAGCATGCATTGGACGACGAATAGTTCTTAGCCCCAGCCAGCAGCTGACACGTGCGGTCTACGACGATGGTGGGAGTGAAGTGCAACACTCGTGGGGATGGCCGGAAGGGACGCTGAAATTATATATTTTTTGTAATAAACCTTTACCTTATCAAATAACAAGAGTTTCGTCCAGCTGATCAAGTAAGTCATCAGAATGAAAGACTTCAGTAAGCCATGACGCCAAAGTTTATATGACGTCATCACTTCTGTTGATTCTTATACAGTAATTAGTCTAACGAGTATGTCTCAGCAACGTTCAATTAGCATGATTTATAGGTAGAACTGGTTACATAATGGGGATAAATCCATCAAAATAGCCAGGAAGCCACTATCACTGGGTTAATGTATCACTATTTTAGGAGAACATGACATGCAATGGTTCCCCAGTCTTACGTGATGTTTGTAGTTTATTCATTTCACCACACCCAAACACACGTGCAAATGGGCACACACACACACAAATAATGGAAGCCCCTCGAGATCGAGGATGGCCGGCCCAAGGGCCACCTCGGCGTGAACCCCTAGGCCCAGAGTGACGTTCCAGAACGCGCGCCTATTCCCGCCACGCTTTAAATGCCCAGGGAGGGTTATCAGGTTCCAGTGTGACTATTTGCCTCTCACACAACTCGCTTGGCTACAGGGAAGCTTCCTGAACATAATTACCTACTTTTGTTTCTTTCATTTTCATTGTTTGTCGATTTTATCATGTTGTAACAAAGTAATATTGCTAAAAGTAGTGTAGTATTACTGTAAAACAATGCTATGAGTAGGTTATAAAAGTATTTGTAGTGGATGTCTCCCCTACAAACTAACTGCGTAGCAGCCCGCCACCTGCCATCACATTCCAATGTGCCGCCTTCCCTAGCAACCAAGCGTATCCGCATTCCAATGCCCGCCGTATCTTAGCAACGGAACTATTCACCGGCTACTTCTCGGGTTTTCCCACCATGACTCATAGCCGCTGCTGGGTGTATATAAGCTCTGTCTCTCCCTTGAGATTCAGTCAGACCATTCTTCTGAACTAGCAACACCTCCTCCTCCGCCGCTGCCTGGCTGCCCCTCGCATCTCCTCGCCTGCCTGGCGGTCCTCGCTCCCGCCAGCGAGCATGTCCTTCTCTGAGCTTCCTCACCAACCAATTCTCATTCTGGCCCATCTTCCTGAACAAGCAACATCTCCTCCAGCAAGCTCCACGCTGTTAACATTTCATTCAACCAGGAGGCCAGCAACAGGCAACACCTTCTCTAACGAAGCTCCTGCACATCTACCTCCTTCAACACGATACTCCCGAACGTCTTCTACTGAGCTGCTCCCCACCACACGGCATCTCCAGCACCAGACTGTCTATCATATAACTTATATATATTATATAAGAAAACCACATTAGAGTTTCCTTCCATCCTGAGTGCTAGACAACTTTAATATCTCGATACCCCTACAATGGTGACTCCCGGAGATTAGCACTCACACAGGATGGAGGAGACACTGATCACGCTCCCACTCTTCAAGCAGACACCGGCTCCTCTTCCTGCCTCACGCACCACATTCTGACGACCCCAGCACACCCGTCCTGCCTCAGCCGCCGACCCAGCAGTACCTGCCGTGAGGGAAGCACACAACATCCATCGCCTCCACACCCCCTCTTTTCTCCCTCAGGTACTCCCTGCTAATGTCCTGCACCCTGCTGCTGTCGTGGACCCAGCTGCTGTCACGAGCCCTAATCCGCTTCTGCTGACCCAGCCCCTGCTCCTGATCCAGGCCCACACACACCCCAGCAGGCGCATCTGACGACCCTGTACCTGTCGTGAGGGAAGAACATTCATCGCCTCCACACACCCTTTTTCTCCCTTCTCCCACAGATCGTGTGTATCTAGACAGTTGTATTTCAGCGATCGGCTCATCACGCCATCGCCGTTGTCTCACATGAGGCATGCACCGCCCGGTCTTCCTCACATGTGCTAAGCAACTCTACAAACAACAAGTCTCCTACACCGCCTGGAGGGGAGGGGGAGCATTGTAGTGGATGTCTCCCCTACAAACTAACTGCGTAGCAGCCCACCACCTGCCATCACATTCCAATGTGCCGCCTTCCCTAGCAACCAAGCGTATCCGCATTCCAATGCCCGCCGTATCTTAGCAACGGAACTATTCACCGGCTACTTCTCGGGTTTTCCCACCATGACTCATAGCCGCTGCTGGGTGTATATAAGCTCTGTCTCTCCATTGAGATTCAGTCAGACCATTCTTCTTGAACTAGCAACACCTCCTCCTCCGCCGCTGCCTGGCTGCCCCTCGCATCTCCTCGCCTGCCTGGCGGTCCTCGCTCCCGCCAGCGAGCATGTCCTTCTCTGAGCTTCCTCACCAACCAACTCTCATTCTGACCATATTTCTTGAACAAGCAACATCTCCTCCAGCAAGCTCCACGCTGTTAACAATTCATTCAACCAGGAGGCCAGCAACAGGCAACACCTTCTCTAACGAAGCTCCTGCACATCTACCTCCTTCAACACGATACTCCCGAACGTCTTCTACTGAGCTGCTCCCCACCACACGGCATCTCCAGCACCAGACTGTCTATCATATAACTTATATATATTATATAAGAAAACCACATTAGAGTTTCCTTCCATCCTGAGTGCTAGACAACTTTAATATCTCGATACCCCTACAAAGTATTTTTTGTGGAATTATTACTATTTTATGCATTACTTGCTCTACCAAACACAAAGACAGCGAGGCAGACCGGCGACCCACTGTTGAGTGTTGCCAAGCACTTTTTTATGAAAAATTATGCAAATAAAATATTCTAAATGAATTATTTATAGCAAATATGTATTAAGATCAATAAATACATACATTATTGGCCACTTCGGACACAAAGGCGAGCTAAAAACAGCTGCTAAGTGCCGAGGGAGCACGAGCGTCAGCTGCCAAACCAACACTGTCTCCTAATCTCTCCCTCTCCTCCCTCCCTCTGCATGGCCAGAGAAGTTTCTCGAGGGTCAATATATAGTTTTTCTTACTTCTTTTTTATTGTTTTATCATTTTAAAAGGTTAAAATTATTTTTCGAAAAAATTTATTTTTCTCGATTTACCCCTGGGTGGGGGGGTACTGCCACCAGCACCCTAACCAGGGGCTTAAGGGTTAAGGTGTAGAAGCTGTTGCCAACACAACAACCACACCCTAAGTTAACGAGCTGCATGACCCAGTGTCAAGGAATAGTGCGAGAAAACTGGACAACTCGCCAACTGCACTGGCTAACCATTACCCCGGAATATGATCCGCAAATCGATTAACATCCAGGTTCCCAATTACTGCTGGGTAGACAGAGGCAAATGGCGTAAAGAAACATGTCCATAGTTTCACCCTGCCCGGGATTTGAACTTGGGTCTGCTTGCTTGCGAGGCAACAATGCTGACTATTACACCACTGGTCGCCACACACACACACACATTGACACAGACACACACACACAGGCACACACATGCACACACACATATGCACGCACACACACACACACACACACACGTGAACGCACACAACTACTACTACTTTGCTGTCACTTGGAATTGAGTATGACCATCATCCAGCTATGATAAAATAATATGGGTTTTTAAAGATGTCACCTTCGTTGGTGAGCACTGAGGTGACTAGAGAGGTTGATACGGGACCGGCTGTGCCGGCCACAGATTTTACACTTGTGGAGGGCTACATCTAGTGCAGGAGGGGTGGCGCGAGCATCTTTCCGGCATTGGCGCTTGTCTGCCTTGGTACGTAGTCGTGCTAACTCGAGAGTATTGACACCTTCTCGTGCGGTTCTCCTCCAAGCGTTACAATGTGGAGTAATCGACACCCAGGTGAGGGGGTCGATTTGGCACTTTTTCAGGTTTGTCTTAAGACTATCCTTATACCTTTTAAGTTGCCCGCCGGCGTTACGTTTACTATTCATTAGGTGACTGTAAAGTAATTGCTTTGGCAGTCCATGCAGTTAACATGGCCAGTTCAACATTGTGGTTCACGGATAATGGTAGCCTCGATGCTTCTATAGTTGGTGTCAGCAAGAATACTGGCATGTGTTCTCTCGTCTTCCTAGCGAACTCAGAGGATGAACATAGACTACATTGGTGAAAGCTTTCAAGTGCCTTGAGGTGCCTCCTGTATGTGACCCATGTCTCACTGCCATATAGCAGGGTGGGGAGGACCACATGCAACTTTGTAGATAATCTCAGCTCCCTACAGCTGAAGACACATGTTTGGAGTTTGCCAAAGGCTTGAGATGCACATCTGATCCGATGCTGAATATCTTCATTGATGTCCGTGGTGTTGGACAGGTGGAAGCCGAGATACTGAAAGTGAGTAACATTAGAGAGGGTAGTACCATTAAGCTGGATGGATAGTGGAGGTGTGGCTGAAGCAGGGGCAGGCTGAAAGAGTATCTGAGTCTTACATACATTCACCTCAAGTCCGCAGTGTGCATACACATTTGCGTAGGTGTTCAGGTTCTTCTGTAAGTCACATTCAGTGTGAGTAACAAGGGTGAGGTTATCTGCACAGTGAAGTTTAGTAATGGAAACTTCCGACACCTTTGTTCCTTTTTGGAGTCGTCAAATGTTGAAATGACCCCTTTCCTCTGGTACTGGATGTCAACCTCGCCGGCTAAATTGGCACTGCCACGAGTAAGGAAGGCAGCCACGAAAATAGAAGAGAGTTGGTGCCAGTGCACATCCTTGTTTTATCTCAGTTAGAATGGGGTAGATCTCAGACCGGGTGCCACTGTGCAGGACATTGTCATTCATGCCATCACGGAGTTGCTTCACAATGTCGATGAATTTTGGTGGGCAGCCAAAACGCTATCCCCAGAGAAGATAAGGTTGTGCTCCTTGGCGACTTCAATGCCAGAGTTGGCAGAGATGCTAACATTTGGCAGGGAACCATAGGGAGAAATGGACTAGGCAAGTGTAAACCCAACGGCCTACTCCTCCTCAGCATGTGTGCCACACACAACCTCACTATCACCAATACCTTGTTATGTAGGCCAACAAGTTGAAGGGTTTGTGGCAACACCCACGATC